TCTCCTCCCAAAAGATGCGCTTTTGCGTGTAAACGCCCCATATTGCATATTCATTGCAGAAAAAGTACTAAATGGACCAAATCCTTTTAGCACGCTGTTGATAGATCAGTTTGTACATTTTTTAGCGTGCGCAGTGAAATAGCTCACGTTTTTATACACGCAAACCTTTGATAGATCCGGCCCTCTGCGTGGATTTTATGTTAAAAATCAAAGTTAATCTTGAAGAGTGTGAAAAGAGGTGAGATAACCTTTAAATTAATTCAGGGCAAGTGGCATATAGCTTCTCGTAAAATTCACTATCAGAGCAAACATTCATTTCTGTCCACGAACGGCCAAACACACCATCAGCCGTTCCTACATTGGAAAAAAAACATGCTACATGAAGCAAAAAATAAAAATTATCACAAAAGTGGTTTACAAGCTTATGTCAGTTCATGATTAAACCAAACTACAGCAAACCTCCTTTGAGTAGTGCTTAACAAGAGTATTCATAACAAGAGTACGTAACCCATTATTTGGGAAAACTTTTAATAGGGTAGGGACCCTTTAACTTCTTTTGTCATGGCACTGATGGATGGATTTGGCAAATTTTTTTCACCTGCTTAGCTCTGCCCATCTCATCAGATCCACCTGTTCCTGCTCCAGCTCAGCTTAGGCTGTGCTGGATGGGTCTGTATTCAGATGGCCCAGCCAAGAGGCTATGAGTGTCTTTTGTTGATCTTGTTCACTGCGTTCAGGACCTCTGTCTCCAAGTTATTCCTATAAATACAATAAATTTCAAATAGTCTGTTTTGCAAAAAGCTTGTTCTGGAAGTGGCTTCAGGACAACTTAACGTGAGCAGGGGTGAGGAAAAAAAGTAATTTTAGCCATGTTGTCTCTGTTCTCCTAAATGTGGTACTTCTGTCTCTCTCTCTCTCTCTCCACAGGATCACGGGCAAAGAAAAGGAAGGTAGTAGTCTAAAAGTCTTTATACTAAGCACAGCAGGGAGGGTCTCATATGTCCCTATGTTTGTCACAGGGTCTGCAGCCTTTGGGTTTGCAAAGAAAACTTGCAGTGAAACAATGTCAAAAATTAATATCATGGCTTATAGCATGACACTGCAGACTGACTCCACCTAAGAAGGTGCTCCATACTACAAGGGAGCCACATAGTACTCTGCTTTTATGCATTTGCAGCTTGTTTGCACCCCTTTGCCACTGCCATGTTTCTAATTCTATGGGACAAACATAATTCGTCCATCTGAAACATTTCATTTTCAGTTTAGTCTAAGAAATTCACCTTTTGCATTCTGGACCTAAAGACAACATCAGACCTTCCCCCTGGTGT